AGTGCTGATAATGAGTTTCTATCAACCTGAAGATTTAGGAAAAATATTTGTAATTTATTCTTTATTCATACTTTGCCTAAAGCATGAAGTCTATTACCGTTGGAGATTAGGCTTTTATTAGTAGATCTAAACATTTTTCAACTGTTTCTAGAAAATTTGTATTTTATAATTACCTATATTAAATTTGTAAAATTTTAAAATTAAATTAATACATAAGATAGGTATACAAATCTTTATATATATATAAAAATTTCGTGTCACGATGTATGTTCGCGATAAACTCCGAAACTACTGAACGGATTTTGATAAAATTTGGTAACTATCTGTAATTTAGTCCAATTTAAAAGATAGGATAGTTTTTATCTCATTTATTGACCTCAATATTTGTTATTGCAAATTAAATGTTTATTATACAATTAGGCATTCCAACGACCTGTCAAACAATATCTGACAGCGGGAAGGGTTAGTCAATTTAAAGGGGTTGCGACATAGCCTTCCATCTTGGACGCCATTTTTATTTGAAATAATAGTCGCCTAGCCTGCCAATTTATAGAAAATGTATAAGCGGTTTTTTTAAAATAATATTTTCATTGTGTTCAACATAAAATATTTTGTCCACGACCACTTAATAATAAATCAATATTCTACCTCCTAACTAAAAGCATAAGGTACCGATATATCACTAGAGTGAATTATGATAATTCACGCTTTTGTAATTCTGGCACATTCAGGTAGATAACTAAAGATGGGCGACACTTTGCATAATATTTTCGAAAAATTGAAAAATCTAAAAATCAGAAAAATTGGAAAATCGAAAAATCAGAAATTAGAATAATTAGCAAATCGGAAAATTGATAAGTCGAAAAAACAACAGTTAGTTACCTATGTTTAATAAAAACTGTCCATTATACTCTTAACTTTTTTTTTAATAAAGAAACCATAATGGCCGTGGACAAAGTATAGTATTAGACTCGCAATTTATAACCATTATTTGCTCGTTTAATAATATACTATAAATTTCATCCATTATTTATGATTTCATATAATGCAGATAGACTACATCGTATGTCGCAGCCCTTTAAACATACCAAACCTTAGCACCGCGTTTCATTTGTATGGAATGCCTAAATATTGTGTACAGAGATTGTGTATTTATTGGTTAGTTCTATGAATTCCTAATATGATGGTGTAAGGTGAAGACTTTGCAGCTACTCATAAAATAATGACGTATTTCAAGGTTTTTGGATTTTCGCATTTAAAGGAGGGGGGCATGGGAAGTATCATAAAAACTCTACTACTACATAAATGCGAAAGTTTGGAGAAAGGGGGAAATAGAGGAAATAGGGAAAGTGAAAAAATAGGGAGAAGGGGGAAGAGGGATGAAAGTATCGATTTTTTAAAGGTGGGAATATGAAAGTTGGAATTGTAGCTACTCATATAATGACGTATTTAAAGGTTTTTGGATTTTCACATTTTAAGGAGGGGGAAATAAATAAAAATGAACATAAAAAATAAATATAAATAATAAATAAAAATAAATAAAAACTAATAAAAACGAATAAAAACGAATAAAAATTAAATTAATGCATTTTTTTTCAAGTATCGCATGAAAAAATTTCTAACGAGTAACAAAAACTGTTAGTTAACTTGAGAAATTCCAGCGAAGCGGGATCGGGTCAGCTGGTTAAATAATATATTTTTTTTAATCATTCTATATTTGCTCGTACATGTTAAATTTTTATTTTTATTCAGTACTACCATTACATAATAGTAGAAATGGGACCTCATGAAAAGTCATTTTTGGACTAGTCTGGCGGACATGTCCGGAAAAATAAAGAAAAGTCGCAATGAAAAGTAGTCGACACTTGAGAATAGGAGACACACAGTTAAATCTCCATCCTGAATGTTTTTTGGGAACAATACTTGCTTTCGTTTTTTAGACAAATCATTTGTAAAATACTTCCAACCTTTGGATTTGTTGGTATTTTTTTCACGAGTTTAATTTAATAAGATAAAACGAAAATTCGGAAACATTGTTAAAACATAAAAGTCAGTCAACATTTGGCGTTTCTTCTTTTTTAAACTAAATTTTTCCTTTATTTGTAAGAAATTCAGATGAATTAGTTAATTTAATTTCGCGCATGTCCAATACACTTTCCATTTTTGAAAAGTGTGTTTGGACTAGTCAACTTTTCAGACTTGTCCATGGACTTTTCAAAGCGACCCATCACTACATGATAATAGGGTGGCACTTTCACTAATTTTATTACTTTTATTACCATTTTTCTAAATTATGAACTTTTTACCATTGATTGACCAATATATCTTGTTTATACTATTTTTTAGGTATGTACATGTATAATTTCAGGTTACGTTATTTCATGTTTCAAATTTGTAAGAAAATTGAATATATTGTAAAAGGATTTATGTCCAATGAAATAAAATAAAGAAATATTGTCGATTGTTTTGTATTTATTATGGAATTTTGTTATACAATTCTGTAAAATAGGTTTTGACCTGTAAATAAATATATAAAATTAATTATGTGTAATTATTTAATTGTTATTTAAAATTTGAGGAAAACAAATTTATGCAATAGTAGGTTTTTTTTATTCATATACATTCATAAAATTTTAAATATTTTTACAATAAAACATAGTTCTTTTCCATTATAATTAAATAAAAAAATAATTCAGTAAAATAACAGTAACTCACAATTTAAAACTCCTCATTTACTGATATGATATGAAACACAATTTTTATTTTTAGGTCTCTAAAATAGGGGGGGTTGAGTGTCTGTAATCCTCATCGCTCTACTATATCCGACCTCAGCTATCGATCAATTATGCACTGATGGGACACCCTGTATGTGTTATTGGCTAACATATTGGGCAAATTTATAAGGAATTTTATACTAAAATAATATATAGCTGTTGCATTTGAAAAAATTGAACGTAAAATTTGTCATATTTATGTTTCAAAACCACTGTATAAAATAAACCAGTTATATCACCATTATTCGTTAGCTTAGTATCTTATAAGTTTATATATTAAACAATTTTGAAATTAATGCAAAATTACCTAAATTATGATAATTTAATTTGGGGCCTGCATCATTTTCTAAAGGCTGTCACGATACTAAATTTAGCACTAAATTAAGTTATTAATTTAGTACTAAATTTAAAACTTAAAATATTTTTTTCCATTTGCAACGATACCAATTTTTAGTACTAAATTAACTATAGACGCACGCGCATTGACTTATTAATACGTGAAATTAGCAGAGAAATGAAATATTCTGTGTAAAATATACAAGTGAAGTAAATGGTGTTTTTATTATCAATTTGATACTAGTTGACAACAACGAAATACAGCAATGCTACTAAAAACCACGAAAAAAACAATAAAACCTACAAAACCATTCTAAAAATACATTTCTATTTAAAAAATATTTTTATTTGCCAGTCAAAAATGCAACACCCTGTATACCCAAAAATATTTTTAAAATGTGTTATTTTTCAAATCCATGTAACTTTTATTAAAAACTTGTTTGCTTGTCTATAAAACAAATTGAAATATTGATCAATTATGCACTAATGGGACACCCTGTATATATTTTCAATTTTTTTTATTGATAACACTGAAGCTCGCCAATAGCTAAAAATTTAAAAAAGAATCGGTTCACAAACAAGAGAAAATAGTACTGAACTATTTTGTCTGCCTATTTATATATATAGATTATCATTATCTATCAATCACCTTATGGTAACAATCACGATGGTGGAAGACTGTTTTATTACAAATTAATAATTAGTATTCAAGCAAAATTTGACAAAACTCTGGGCATCTTTTAAATTTAACTTATATATGCTCTCACTGTTATGTATATGAAACAAGTTAATTAAATCCCTTGAAAAAAATTCAGATTTGAAACGAGTCAGCTATTTTCAAAAACTTTATTTTAGATGTACATCAAAATGTATAAATTAATTTAATAAATAAAGCCGGCCCTGACCATAACGTAGTGGTGCTGGTAATCGACTATGAAAGCTATTTACTGCGCATGAGTATTAACTTGAAGTGACGTGATGCGCGAAATCAAAAAGGCACACTTTTTGTTATTAGGAATAGCGTTCCATTGTAACAGTATAGAGTTCAGTGGTTATATCAGATAAGTTTTTAATTATTTCAATAAATCAACTAAATTTGAACTAAGTAAATCTCTGTGAATTAGAATTTGTTAGTGCCTTATCTAAAACTTGGTTTAAATTTAATATCTTAATGGTTAGTGATTTTCTATATTTGTATCACTAATCTATAGTCAAGTATATTAGGTTTTAAATATAGTGGTGTCCAACTTCTTTTTCAAGGTAATACGAGTTATTTAATAACCTGACCCACTCCCAAAATCAATTGAGCTTAAAACACTATAACAAATAGATAAAAAAGTATCACGTTACAATTTAAGGAGTGGATTAGTAATGAGTAGCAAAAGCGGGAGGATAAACATATGAAGGGGGATATGAATATATGATTTGGGGGATAAAAACATGGAGGGAGTATTATAAGGATTTGTAAATGGTGGGGGGAGATAAAAGGGGTGGGGTTACACCCAATTTCCCTCTATTATTATTATAATAATTTGATAATCGATAAACAACATGGGTTTTTTAGAAACAAATGTAATTTTTTTTTCCGTATAATAAATAAATAGGTGAGGGAAATGTTAAAAAACCTCGACTAAAAAATAGGATTTCTATAGATGCATACGTATGTAGAAGACCCGTTACAACGACATGGAACACGTGGTAAAATAGTACAGGAAATGTGGGAAATAAAGAAAAGCCAGATAGATAGCACCAAGTGGTTATTCATTAATTACTTAAAAAAGGAGATAGTTAAAAGTGTGACACCTAGAGGGGTATAATAAAGCCTTGATAAATGTGGCTTAATAAAAAATATTTCAAAACAGACATCGAAAGATCTGAAATAGGCCTTACATATTGGTTCTATCTCATCTGGCTCCGACGGTTCCTGATCATCCGACTTTTCCCCCGCACCCGGTTCGTCGCATATACATGGTTCCTCTTCGTCAGGAGGTAATTCTGCTAAAGGTGGTAAACAGGGTTCGGTGGGTTCTGGTTCCGATGGCACTACGCTTTTCTTGGATCTTCTGAGGAATTCGTCTATATCTTTACAACGATCTTTGACGGTGGGGGCCACTATATTCCTAGAGGTTTTGTGCGGTAGCCTGCTATACATTATTTGAGCTTTTCTCATTTCTTCTATTATTTCCAGTATAACTAAGAAGAGAAATACGGAATATATGAAATAAAAACGTTTTTCTAATATTAATAACACAATGTATAGTGCATTCATAAAAGAAGCTTACAATTAGGTATTAGAATGTGATAAGTGCAGATTACACAAATTAGAAGTTTTTTGTGTCTCAGAAATGTATCTTTTTATTGCGATCTGTTTAAAAGTTTTCGTGTATTAACAATTTATTGCTGCCTTAAATATTAATACACGGCTTTCTTCTCAAAAATTATTTTATACCAATTTGGCGAATCCTGTTTTTTAAATCCAGAAACCAGTCGCAATAAAAGGATAACTTTGTGAGACCTATCTTTCCCTATTTTTTAACCCTATATTTACATACAGTAAGCATCATAAGTCTTACCCCCCCTAACTAACTCGTTACTGGAGTCTTGTTAGGAAAATCGCCGAGACAGGTCGATTTTTGTTTTCTACAATGTACATTTTTGTATGATTAGTTTACCCTTAATTTCATCCCTTTCGAAAAATTTAAATGGCATGGGGTGGTGAGTGATAGCTCATTTGAAAGGGGGTTTTATTCAACCGTGCAAAAAAACTTTTATTTGCTTCATTACGTGTTGATTTATTAATGTTAAAAAATAACAAAACCTCACAAAATAGGAAAGTAACTAAACTAATAGTGACCTTCTAATGGCAAAAAGTCTTACTTCACGTCTGAACCAAAACCGAAATCATGCAGGGCCGAATTTTAATTCTAAGGATGAGTGCGCTACGTTAATTTCCGTTATTCTGAAACAACAATTAGTCGAGAATTAATGAAGCAAATTTCAAATTTTTTTACATGGTTGAATAGAGAATAAAACCTTCTTTCTAATGAGCTATCACTCATTACCCCATGCCATTTAAATTTTTAGAAAGGGTTGCTCCCCTTCAGTAAGGGATGAAATTAAGGATAAACTATTCATACAAAAATGTACATTGTTGAAATCAAAAATCGACGTGTCTTGGCGATTTTCCTAACAAGACTCCAGTAACGAGTTAGATAGGAGGGGTAAGACTTATGGTGCTCACTGTATAGTCCCATTGTTAATAGATCACCACAAATTCTAATATCGACTTTTAAGCTGTTTTTATGAATGCAACTGTACTAGTAAAGTCTGTCAAATAGTTAACCAGGTTTAAAAAAGAACAAAAATTACTATTTTTTTACAATCACTATCAAAATATACGAGGAAGGAGCAATAAAAAATCTAGCAAGAGGAACAAAGAAATATCAGATAGATATCCTAGCAATGCAAGAAACCCATTTAACCGAGAAAAATACATCGGAGATACAAGATTATATAATGTTCACAAGTGGAAATTAAAGCCGTAGATTTGGAATGGGTTTCTTAGTACATAGAAATATAAAGGCATCAGTAGTAAATTTTAAAGCCGTAACAGAAAAATTATGTAAAATACAAATAAAAAGCGGATAACAAAATATAACAATAGTTAACTTCCACGCGCGAACAGAAGAAAAGGATGAGGAAACAAAAGATGAATTCTACGAAGAACTAGAGAGAGTATATGATGAAATTCCCAAAGTCATCAGAAAATAATTCTAGGAGATGCAAACGCAGAATTAGGCAAAGAAGCAATTTACAAAAATATAACGGGGGGTGAAAGCAAACACGATATAAGCAATAATAACGGTTTAAGAATAATAAATTTAGTCATAGAAAAAGATATGAAAATCATGAGCACACATTTCAAAAGAAAATATATTCGCAAAGGAACATGGATTATACCAGGTAGGGTTGTAACGGAACTTTGCCTTCCCCTCCGTTACTGCGGAAGTTCCGCAAGAAATCGTACCTTCGCCTCCGCTTCCGCCTCCAAAAAAATATTTGCGGAGTTATAACGGAGATGTATTTACTTCAATCGGTACATGATGAACCGAGCACAAGTTTCCAGATTTTACCACCAGTACAAAGTGTATATTCCAATCTGACTGACATGCTGACAAATATCAGTGACGGTGAAGAGGAAACCGAAAATGACAGCAGCAATAGAAACCTCATAATATAAAAAACACTAATTAGTGAATATAACAAAGAAAACCGACTCAATTTAGATAATGACCCTTTATTGTGGTGGAGAAATACTACTAAATATAAAGCTTTTTCTCCCATCGTTCGCACGTATTTATGGGCTCCGCCCAGTTCAGTGCCAAGTGAACAATTATTTAGTTCAGCTGGCTTAATTTATGATCCTCTTAGAAATCGCCTAAAAGGTGACAAAGCCGCAAAACTGTTATTTGTAAAATATAATTTGCCTCTCCTTAATTTTGATTACTAGTTAGCTAAGAAAGTCTCCGTTACAACCCTAATACCAGGTACCACAAAGACAAATCAAATAGACCACTTTCTCATTGAGGAACGGAACGCAAACTTAGTAAAAAATGTTAGATCATGCAGAGGGGCAGATGCAAACTCCGATCACTTTCTAGTTATTGCTAACATAATTCTAACAGAACGAAAAAAGGTAAAACATAACATCTATAGAAATATAAACCCAAAATATAACATGAAAGAATTACAAGTAAACGAGGTATCAAGGAGATATAAAGTAGACATAGAAAGAAGTCTAGACAATACACCAGTTTTTAACATGGCCAACATAGAAAAGAAATGGAATAACATAAAAATATCAACTGAGAAAAATATTAATAAGAAAAAAACGCAGAATAGAAAGGAATGGTTAGATAACGAGTGTGATAAAGAAATTAAAAAAAAAAACACAAACTGGGAGAAAAATACCTACGAACAGGGAATGACACATACGGAAAAATTATATAGAACAAAGAAAGGTTGTTAAAAAAATGTGCAAAAATAAGAAAAGGCGTCACCAAGAAAAAAAAGTCATAAAAATACAAGAAAATTACAAAAAAAATGAAATTAAACACTTCTATAAAGATGTGAAAGGTATACAAAAAAAAACTTGCAAAAAAATATATATATATATATATATATATATATATATATATATATATATATATATATATATATATCAAGGATAAAGAGGGAAATTTAATAGGAGGAAAAAGCGAGCAAATGCAAAGATGGAAACAATACTTCCAAAAACTAATGAACGATAAACCTGAACGGCAGGAAGTAGAAGAAGAAAAAGCAGCAGAAGAGGAAGAAAAAGCAAATGAAAACCCTATATACACCGCTAAGGAACCCACAGAAGAAGAGATAATAGAAATTATTTCAAATATGAAGAAAAATAAAAGCCCCGGATCAAACAAAATTGCCGCAGAGAACCTAAAATATGGAGGACAACAACTAACCACACAAATAATACAATTAAACAAAGAAATATGGAAAGCGGAAGAAATGCCACTAAATTGGAGGAAAGCAGTAATACTGCCAATACATAAGAAAGGGGACCCAGCAGACTGTGGAAACTATCGAGGTATAGCTTTGCTGGACGTTACATATAAGGTACTAGCCACGTTAATAAAAAGAAGAATAGAAGTAGAAAGGGAAAAAATTATCGGAGAATACCAATGTGGCTTTAGAAAAGGCAGGTCAACGACTGACCAAATCTTTATTTTAAAACAGGTACTCACATGTTGCTACGAATACGAAATACCGACACATATTATGTTTTTTGATTTTAAAGCGCATATGATACAATAAATCGATGAAAATTGGTAAATGCTTTGAAAGAACCGACACCACGTGTAGAATTCAAATGCCGGTTTTGCTGGTTACCTCTTGTCTAGCATCCGTCTCCCTTCCTCGAAGAAATCGCCTGTGAGAAAGGATACACTGGAAAAGTTGTTTGTGATACGCTAACATAATATTCCTTGGCGGCTGCTGCTGCACTGTTATTTTATACAAATTAATTTTTGTAGATTAGCAGGATCATCTATATTATTTGAAAATTTTATTTATTTCCGAGTACAAAATAAATAACTGCGTTATTAGTGTGAGAATTTAAATAAAATAAATGATTTATTATATAAAAATTAATTAATTCTTTAAAGTTTTTATGTTTCGTTCTTAAACTTTGTTTTATTTGAGTTGACTAGTAGGTAATTATCATTTTTTTGATTTCAGATAACAATTTTTTTGCAAATATTTTTGTGTATAAAAAATATAAAATTGTAAATTTCGAATTGAACATAAGATTTATATTATTTACATTACCTTCTTAGGCAGGGACGGTTACGTGACTAATTTAGATAAGTGTACTGTATTATATTTTAAATTAAAAGGCAATACTGGTATTTTTTGTCGAGTTAAACTCAAACAATTTTCATAAAATATTTTTATTGTATTAAATAATTCTTAATTTGTTTAACTCAAACTCTAAGTCTTTTTTTCTTTGTTATCTATTGCTTTAAGGATATATTCGGGTTCTCTAATTGACATACCTCTGGCTAATCTTGAATCCACAATTTCGGGAAGAAGGCAGTGAAAATAAAAATTTTTAAGGTGAGGCAACATAGTGTTTACCCAAAAATCGTTGTCTCTAGTAATTGTTTCCAGCTTAATGTCATTTTTAGTCCAAATACAAAGAATACAATATTCTTTTTTTGCTACATTTAATTGACCTTGAATCTGATAATACCAGTTGTGTCCTGTATTTATTGACACTTCATTATTTTTGTTTATTTTTAATATTGAAATTTTTTTCTGCCTAATTCCATCTATTATTGTAGAGTCTCTGGCAGAGTAAGGGCACTTAATTTCGATTAGTCTTTTTTCTCCCAGAAGACCAACAGGTGTTGCAGCCAACCAGGGGTATTCACCGCTAATAAATAATCCACTTGACTTGATATTCAATTTATGCTGTTTTATAAAAATATTTTTTACAGTAGACTCATTGACTTTACCCCATTCTACTGCATTGCTCCTAATAAATGGTTGTGTAAGGAGCTTATGAACTAAATTTGCACAAGTCATTGGTTTTCGCTTACAGACCTCTCCAAAATGTGAAGCTGTTAAAAGGTGTTTTCGAATTTCGACCC